AATAACCTCAAACACACACTGCCTCACCACACACCCACTCTTCTTATATTAACTTACTTTCGTTAAATCAATAACTGTACGTTATCATGTATTCTTCCTTCACACATACTTCAGTTTCATGATTCAGAGGGAAAACACTTCGATTTCGTTGTGGAACAGAGGAAACACATGTTTGTAAAATTTGGTGCACTGGCCATTACTCGGTCCAGGCTAATACATTAACACCTACCATTTCCACTACCTCACTGAATATTTTAACATTTACTTTCAAGCAGATAATTAAACACAACTTGTTCATATACACATAACACCGTCTTATTATTTATAAATACCGCTTCATACCAGGAAAGAAACATACCTTGATGGTGCTCACCGGATATTTTCGTCACAGTGTCAGGGCAGCCAACCTCTTATCATGACTGAAACAGAAACATTCCAATATCAGTCCGATTACAGGGCGGTAATTTTTAACCCTATTTTTACCCATTTTCGTGTATATTATTATTCTACTTGCTATCCAGGAAGGGAAATTCGGGCGAAACAAATGCCCAGCAGTCACTCAATTGGTCGCGTATCCATACACGACAAAGAAGGGAACAATATCACTGACAACAAAGATTTTTCGTCATAAAGTTATGCCATTGGAGGGCAACTGACTTCATGTTTGTTTCTAATTTCAGTGGGCGTAGTAAGCATAATCCATATACATAAGTAACACACAGATGTAAATTCATGCGTAAATATCGACTCTCATTTCATAACATCAAATTAAAGTCCCTACTTACTAATTATTCTAATTAATTGCACGACCTACCTCGATGGCGTACACACATCATCACAGACGATCACAAAGATCACAAACTACGCAGCGCTCCGCACTCTTAGCCCTTTTCACGCTCTTACCGGTCTTACTGAGAACATTAGAACATTCGAGGACAGTTCAAGTTTTTTGTGGATAGTGCTGCCATCTTTTACTTCTACATATCTGAACCTCAATCGGTAATAAGAATTGCTATTTTGTCTTCTGGAGTCCATCACAACGATCACACCTATCACTATAAATAAATAACTCACGAAACGTGTTATGCCAGCATGATCACAATTTGTAAACCGCACCATTACACGACTCTTGGAAAACTGTAATAAGCTGCTGAAAAAAATTGTAAACTGAAATATGTAATCAGAAGAAAATATTGGGAACTTTAACAAGAAATCTTGGAAACTAGTTAGATTTCACAAGATAATAGCCAGAGGAATGCCAATTTTTCATTCAAAAACTGGACCTTACAGAACAAGGATCAGAAAAAATTAGCTCAGCAAATATGATTCCTCATATCACTGGCAATAATTACGAAGAGAGCGAACAACTGAGACACAACCAGGGAAGAGCTTTGTGTCAGGTTTGTACTATGTGACATAAAATCAAAGGTAAAAAAAAAAGTAGAGTTTTTCCTGTGCTTAACTGAGTACTATGCCATGAAGACATATGGGGGAGGAACTGTATAGATCCATATATTCTTGACCTTGGCACTAGTTGAATTTGAGTGGTCAGATACACACCCCAGCTGCAAGATAAAATCAGAGAATCAATATTGTAAAAACTATATAGGAAAAATTATTGTTGAAGATCTCAAGGAAGGAGAGTAGTCGGGAAACCTGTGAAAAGATAGCCTCATCAGTTCTGAATCTCATGACAGTCCCTGGTAGACTAATGGTCTGAAGGATTAATAATAGTACATCAAAGGGTCTTATTCCATCTTCAGGACAATTGAGTCTGACTGAACTGGTTTCACCAGCCTCTCTTCAGTTGTATCCACAATGCAGAACAGTCAATTCCCACTCTCACAATGTTGCACGTAGAAAATGCTACCAGCATTTGGAGCCACTTACATGCTCACCCAGAAGAGGAATTCTGAATTTAGAAGCTTTACAGAACATTTTCATAATGCAAGCCATTCATTCATTCATTTATTGTATATTCCAAAAATCCATATAAATAGATATAGAACCAGTCACATAGTTAATATAGTACAATACAATTATAAATATATATGTACAGCTTATAATCATTATAATAGATAAAAAACATGTGTTAAATTTACAGTCTTACATCACTATACATAAAATTATGCAATATTAAAATTGTTTATGCTATTATCCTTATTTTTAGGCAAATTTGTTACTAAAGAATTCATCACATGTATAAAAAGAGTTTTGCAATAAAAATGTTGTCAACTGAATTTTAAAATTTTTCAAGTCATTAGACATAGATTTGATTTTTGGTGGCAAATGATTAAAGATCTTTACCCCCATGTAACATATTCCTTTCTGGAATTGTGTTAGACTAGTTTGCGGATAATGCAGATCACAGATAGATCTGGTACTACAATTATGCATTTGTGAGTTGAATGTGAATAATTCCTTATTTACTATAACAAACAAGGAAATTGACAATATATATTGAGCTTGTAGGGGGAGGATATCCAATTCTTGAAACAAACTACGACATTTGTATTTGTTATAATCCTAATTATCCTTTTGTTCATCCTAAACACACTTTTATACTATGCAGGGAGTTACCCCAGAATATTAATCCATACATTATTATAGAATGTACATAGGAAAAATACATCACTTTTAATGTCTCCAATGGTAAAAAGGATTTAACTGATCGGATTGCAAAACAGGATCTGTTTAACTTATCAATTACTGCATCAATATGACTTTCCCACGTTAAAAAAATTTCAATTTTTAATCCCAGAAACGATATATTAGAAATACTTGGAATTTGATTGTTTAAATAACTAACTTGAACATTTAAGTTTTTACTGTTTTTAGTTCTAAACTGTAGAAAATAAGTTTTTTCATAATTTATTACTAGCTCATTTTTCCTAAACCATTCATTTATCATCTCAAATAATTTATTTATTCTAATTTTAAATGTCGCAGGATTCTTATCAAAGATAAGGATACTTGTATCGTCTGCAAATAATATTGGTTTGGATAGGTCAGATATAATTTTTGGTAAGTCATTTACATCTAGTAAAAAGAGCACTGGGCCTAATACAGAGCCCTGAAGCACCCCGCACTGTATTTCTTTCCATTCAGAACAACATTTACTCCCATTTTCATACAAAATTACTCTCTGGTATCTTCCTCTCAAATAGGATCTCATAAGTTTCTGAGCAGCTCCTTCAATTCCATAAAATTCCATTTTTGATAGCAATATATCATGATTTACTCGGTCAAAAGCCTTACTCAGATCACAAAAAATTCCACCCGCTATATATTTGTTGTTTAAAGCCCTATAAATATTCTCCATTAGATTATAAGTAGCTAATGTAGTTGAAGAGTTTTTTTCTAAAGCCGAATTGCTCCTGCGTTAGCAGGTTATGTGTATTTAAGGGTAAAAACATTCTTTTATATATTTTTTTTTAATTTTAGAAAAGATTGGGAGTAAAGATATAGGTCTATAATTAGACATGTCGGTTTTATCCCCTTTTTTATGTATAGGTATTATTTCAGAATATTTTAAACGAGCAGGGAATATTCCTGTAGACAATGACTTATTAAATATGTAAGTTAATGGTGATGATATATATGGTGCATTTGCTTTTATTAATTTGGTAGTAATTCCATCGTATTAAAATCAAAACAAATAACAGATAGCTGTAATGCTTTACAAGTACCTTTCGATTAATCAACCCTTATCTATGTCAGCTCTTATCTCTTCAAGCACCAGTTGTGAGGATGCCCAAGTTCTTGTTCCAAACAGATAAATGGACATATCTGGCATTATTCTAAATCACTGTTCAGTTTCTTGAAGTATTTCCATACTAGGAGAGAGGATACAAGAACACTGTCAATATTTTCACACTGGATTTATGGCACACATGGTTATCCTTACATGAATGTGTGACTTCATAAAAACTTCTGTTAACCATTTTTGCCTCTTTGTATTTTTCATGCTTCAATAAATAAAACAATAACCGAATATTTAAAATGTATTTTATTGCTAGGTGATGAAAACTAATTTTGTCAAACAAAGGCAGTCTATCACCCACCATTGTCTTCTTGCTTAGCAACTGCTGACTTAATAAACTGATCGGGCCATGCCATAGCTCAAGCGGTTAGTCACTGGCTTCCCACTGCGGCAGCCTGGGTTTGATCCCGGGTCTGGTCAAGTGGGATTTGTGGTGGACAAAGTGGTGGTGGGGCAGGTTTTCTCCAAGTACTTCGGTTTCCCCTGCCAATCTTCATTCCACCCATTGCTCCACATATCACCCTCACCTAACATATGGGGCTGGTACAATAGTCCAGTAGTGGCCGCAGTACAAGGGACTTAGTCCCACCCCACTAGAAATAAAAAATAATAATAAACTTATCACTATATGGCATTGCTTAGCAATGCGTCTATGTGCCACAGTAATATAAAAAATTGTCAGTGGCAATTTAGAACCATATCTTCTATTCTTCCCTGAAGACTGACATGATATGCTCCTCCAGAACACTGGTCAATTTCAATGAACCACACAGTGTTACATACCAAAAAAGAGGACTCTGCATAACCATCACCGTGAGAACCTCAAATCCTGCAAATTGCAATTTATATTCATGTCTGCCATAGTAAATAAGCAGTTCAGTCTCTAAGTACAGTTAATTTTAAGAAAAATCGTGGCAAACAACAGGCACTTCAGCTAATAGCGGTGTAAATGTAAATATCTATTTATCACTGCACAACCTGAATTTGTATGATGTACGAAATCTTCTTTTGGCCTTCAAAATATCATACTGCTCCAAAGTGCAACACTGTGTGGGACAAAACACATTAAATAAGCAATGTTCACAAAAAAGATGGGCAAATGAAAATCTTTTAAAAACATCAGAAGAATTTTCACTCCTTAGTTTCGTTCAAATTGGATAGGAGGGGACAGAAAGACATAGAATCATAGACTCCAGAGGAGGAGACAGGCTTGCGGAATCACAAGAATAGCCATGTATACATAGAAAATTGATTTAATAACAAAATACTGTACACTTGTATTGGCTTGAAACTGTACACATTATGAAACAGCTCAATATGAGCCACATTAACATCCTGCACAATGTTATGTTATTTACAGGTTGTGGTGCAGCCATGTTGATAGTGCTTGTTGGATGACTGATACAAAACAGTGGCTTTCAATTGTAAACTGCAAGCATTGCAATTTAGAGATGGTTTAAACATAACTGTGAATGTACAAACAAACAGCATAACCACAAAAATCCTCACGGAACTCACTCACACCCTATCTACCATCCCTTCCTGCGCTCTCCTTACTTTACTCACACTCTCCACTAATGCGACTGGATTACTAGTTCTACAGTGTTAGGTGAGGGAGCTAGCAGGTGGGTTAGGATGACAGAGGGTGGAACAGGCCTCTCTCTCCAAGCAACTCTTATCCCCACCACCTGTGACAATAGTTTGACTGCCTCAACTAACAATAAAACATGTTACATATCCAGTAAAAAAAAATATTGTTATACATGGACTTAATTAATTAAGCACCCTGTCATGAAGATATATGATGGTGTGGAGGTTCAGCTCAACCACAAAGATATGTAACTTTCTTGTTTCCTCTGCAGACTTAATAGAGAACATTTTTATACATGATAAAATTTGCTTTGTACTCTTGCCAATATGTACAGCAGCCATGACTAATAAAGGGCTGTGCAAATATGGTGGTAGACTTTTCAGATGCGATTCAAATCCTCATTCAAATTTTAATTATATGAATATGAATTACTTTCATAATTTCATAACTTCTTTAAAGTTTCAGCTATTACCTATTAACTATGAATTCGAGCAGGCCAGAAGGCCAAATGTGTAAAATGGAGGATGATGATATATATATTGCTCTGAATGTCTGATGTTCCCCTTTTGCTGTGTCATCACTATATGTAAGCTGCCAGTTTGCACTGAAATGACCCCCAGTTTCAATGCCCCAAGCCTTCTTTGAGAAAAATATCCAACACTGTAAACTATTATTTTCATACTGTGAACATTAAAGATGCTTACCAGAGCACAAATGAGCTACCTTGCAAGCTTGCAATTAAAAGCCCTGCTTTACACCCACTACAATGGCACATCTTCAGAAAGACTGTAATGAGAAAACTTGATATACAAAATTACACAAACATAAATAAAATATTTATATAAAAATGCATACAGGAATTAAAAATCATCCTGTGGGAAATTATTTTTAAAAATTATAACACAATCTTAGGCAATGTCAAATGGAATATCATGTTTTCAGAACAAAACCTGAAATTATCAAAAGATATAACATAATGCCTCAACCAAATTCATTAGTGGGTGAATGAAAGTATGTATTTCCCAGGTCTGGTGTGGAGATTAATTAGTCCCAAATAATATTAGTCATTACACTTTCAAATAATTGTTGCTAACCAAGAAGATAAAATAAATTGTTATTGTCATATGAATAAAGCATTAAATCAAAGAATATTTTTAAAATAAACAACCTGCACTATACATGAAGTGACATCTGTCGTAAAGGGGGGACAATTAATTTCAATGAAGAAACAAAGGGCATTAACATCACCCTAAAAAGTTAAAATTGCTCCAGTTATAATAACCTTGGTAACAAAATTTAAGAACATGAGTATCTGTGGGTTTGGCAACCAAAAAGGCAATGGCTGATGGACTCAGAAAATGAAGTGTTACCACCATGACACTGGAATATGGCACAACATTTGGGCATTTGCCTGAATATTCAGTGAAGCCACAGAGTGTCAGAGAAGACCTTTCAACATTCTCAAATGCAATGACCTGACATCAACCATGTCGTGAATCTGCTTTTGAAACTGTGGCAGTTACCTGCTGGGGTGCAAATGGAGGAATATATGGTTCAGAAGAAATAACAACACTGGATAGCTGCAAAAACCATCACAGAGGCAAACAGAAATGCAGCAGCCTTGTGTTGAGATCAGCCTACTTACTACATTGATTACCCAGTTATCTAGTACCCAAGAGACTGAAATTCTGAATTTGCTTTTATCTTGCAGTCTATTAAAGTACTGAAGAGAAATGCAGAATATAACGATTATTCATTTCTCCTGGTTCTGTAGCAGAGTTTACACAGGTTTCTACCATTCTCTGAACCGATTCATGAAAGCAAACCTGAAACAAATAACGAAACTTAGTAGCTTCTGGTGGCACAGCCGAGAAACATGAAAACAGATTTAACTTTAAAGGAACTCTTAGAATGGGTCAATCTATCATTGTTAAGATGTTGTAACCTAATGTACTGCTTCCTAAGAATTGAGTTAAAAGTTCTTAACAGCTTTGGAAAAAGTGGAGAAATAGGTAGACGAGACAACAGGATTGATAAATAATAATGATCCAAATGGACTGCAGAGTAATTATCACTGTTCTGAAATATCTCTGGACATAATGAATGAATGTATAAGGGGTGGGCCTTCTTGGCCCTTGCACCACAACCACAGTGATCTACTGGGGTTCTCTCCGGACATAAAGCACACTCATTATATCAGTATCTGGTGTATTTATTTCAGCAATGAGGATCCCATAACCACCCTCAGCATATCAGGCCATCTTTAGCAGAAGGATATCAACCTGCATCCTATGTGCTTAGTGTGTATGGTAATGTAGGCCCGGTATTACAACCCACATCCTGTCATTCCATGAAACATATAAGTAAGGAGTGTGTTCAATATGTGGCATAGATACAGAACAGCCAATGAGCTTCATTATTCTCACACCTACTGCGAGCAATAATGATGATTCTTCAAATATGCATTTTTGTAATTTTATAAACTCCATAGATGCCCCTTGTTCTCTTGTCCACTCTTATTTGAAAGTAAAATCTTGGCCCTATTCAGGGGCCTTACAAAAATTCATTTTACACACTTACATTAGATATTTTCCATACAAAAACATATTCAATTTCACACACCTATCCAAAATGACAATTATTCATTCACAATATTGATAGCCAGAATTACTCCATTAACATATAATTATGAAAACAGAATCACCTACCATCACACCACCACTGAGCAACAGTATATGAAGCTCAAATTGAAGTTGAATGCACCCAGGACTCTTAAATTCAGTTTAGGCCTGCTGTCACATTGTTTGACAAGCCAGCTTACACAATATTATAGGACAATTTCCTTACCAGTTTAGCATACTGCAGTTCTGTGACACATAACCCCATAACCACACAATAGCATTTTATCTTACATTAAGCCCTGCAAGCACTGAAATTTCTGTTAAAAACAATTATGCTTTGTCTGTGTGCTTCAACCTTCTGCCTGCCATACATTGAAAGCTAGGTATTTTAAAATCAATGAACTGTATTTAGATTGCTTCAAGGAATCAAGCTTACCATCTGTTGGGTTGTGATGGCATGTAGTTTGGTAGATGGGCATCAGTGTGTTAGAGGAACACTGGTACCTATCTACCTAACTTCAGGGTGTCACATCCAACAAGACTGTGATCTTAAGAGTCATCTTCATGAGAATCTTAGGTCTCACATCCCTGGAGAAAAGCCAGCAGGAATCACCTTCACTGCCAAGAGGGTAATAAGATCTCTGTGACCTAATACACATTGTTGTGCCTCATAGCATGTGGTCTGTACAGTCTTGATTTGACACATCTTTCCCATCTACTGATGAATGCTTAACAAGAATGAGTAACTAAACTATCACAGCCAAAACACATAAAAATGAAACCGAAAACCATTTAAACAAGCTGCCCTGTTGCAAATGGCATGCAGAAGGAAAAACCACATTACACAGCAGGAACTCTAAATGCCATCATGGTGCATTTTCACAAGATAGGAACATGGAGAGAGACACTCAACGGTTTCAAATCTCTTCTGCTCATTACACCTGCATATTTTTCAACATCATCCTCTATTATATAAAATGTGGTTTTCACCGTTATTCACAATTCACATTAAAATGCTTTGGGACAACTCTTTGCATAATTACATTTGGTTAATAGCCTGTTGGATAGGTTTCTATATCTTACATATAAAGCTTTAGAACTGAAGTAATTATTGCTTTGGAATAGTTATTAGGTTAACTATTTTAGAACTTTGGGTATATATCTGAGGCATTGTCAAAATGCCCATACATTTTGCAGTCATATTATAAAAGCACCAGTCATGTTATATCACTGCTTACAAAGTTGTTAACATTACACACAGTGAAAACTGTTTTCCAGTGTACATCGTGGCTCTTCACTGCTTATTGCTTATTCACACTGGATGCAACAAAGACGACACGATATGTGCCGAATGCCTTTGGTATAAACATAAAAAACATTGCAGTACTGTTTAACTGTATTCAATGTCCGGAAATAAATTAATACACTATTTTAAACTTTATATATCTGGGATAACTATTTACTCATGGAGGGACAAACAATACGTAACCCAGTTAAAGGTAGTATTTCATGGAAGCATCAAAACATTCAGAATGAAAATTCCACAATCAACAGAGCACACTCTACTTTACCTTATCTTGTCTTGTAGAATACGGTGAAACACACAGGAAATGAAGTACTCACAACAGTAATGATGCACATTCGTTCTTTTCTGAACTCTGTTATTAAAATCCATAGTTCTCTAGTAAGCACAGAAAACATTTTCATCATTGTATACCTGAAACACAATCATGGCTGCTCACTTTTCGTGTGAAGAGTTTCACTGAGTGGTCATAGCATATACACTGCTTCCATGAGAAGGCTATGCTGTTATATTGTGCACACTTTGCAACAAACCATTCTTGGGTTCTAAGTATTCTGTGTCTCCCACATGGGATAATATACTCTATTATTTTTTCTCTCTCTCTCTCTTTCGGTCAAGGTTTAGGACTCAAATTCCCGTTCCACACCTCACTAATAATCCAGTCATTTACTTTCATGTCTTGCACTGTCTCTTCTTCCCTGAGGTCTGTATTCTATTGCTCCTCCTTCCTGGTCATATAGGCTTCTCACTGGCAATAACATACTTCAGCCCACAAGTACTGCTTCAACAAACTGTTTCTCTCTTAAATTAGGAGATTAAAGTTGAATACAATCTCATAAATTTATGTAACTATTCCTGCCTGAATGTCTTCATGAAAACTGAGTTACATTGTTATATTGTGAAATTATAAGAAGCTTGCTATCTATTTCCTTTACAATTACAACACTGAATAATAAAATTCCTGGTTAGCACAGCCAACAGTTATTCTACAGCATAAAAACAATTAATAATGTTGAGCAATTTAAATGCAAATTAAACAGTGCAAAGTTTGAAGATTTTTGTCTTCAGCACATATCCCAGAAGACTGCACTCTTCAGTTACTTGTCATGACAACTTCAAGTTTCACACATTATCCTACTGGACACACATTTTACAGTTTTGTATTTTAGTCCATACTATTTCTGTTGGGGAGAAAGTAAACAAAATTCTGTACCCCCCTCCACGAGCTTAACGTCTCCAGATGTGGACAAAATTGAGATACTGTTAATTTTGGAAATTATATTACTGCAGTATTCACATTTGATTATGGTTATTTTCTGGACTTATTAATTGCCCCACTTTTCTAAAACCACTGGGTTTTAGAAAGCAACTCTACTTCCACTGTCACGTGAACAAAAACGAATTCTGGCGAGTCCTTAGTTACAGCTACTCTCAAATGGAGACAGAGTCCAAAAGAATAGTTTTAATCCATGTGTCACACCATCATCAAAGACACTTTAAACCAAGTACCTACATTCTTCCATACAGTGAAGCCCCCCATTTATTATTTCTTTGATAAGTAAATTTTAATACATAACTGAGGAAAATCAAAAACAGAGGGCATTCAACAAATATTTTCCAGTTGGGATCACTGAAACTGAACATTAAGAGGGAGTGTGCTGTAGTCAGAGAATGGTACATGTGACATAAGAACATATATCAAACTACAAGAATTTGTGATTATTTTAAGGGTGGACTGTCATTTAAAATTTCACTGTCGGTGACCTCAAAATCACCAGCAATGGAGATGTCACTTTTCCATTTCTTTTTTGCTTTGTTGGACACAAAAGGTATTCACATCTTATAAACTATTTTCCATGCAATGAAGTTATCAAAGTTCAACATGTTCAAAATTGTACCCAATGGAAAGTGGGAATGATGTTTCCCTAACAAGACTAAACACAATTTCTCCAAGAGTTGTCCATGAACACCACATAATACAGCATACAGTAAACTGTTTTTGCTAGCCAGAGAAGGCAGGAGCCCATCATATTCAAAGTTCCTCACATTTTCTACTCCAATAATAATTTCTTGCAGTGCAATATACTTCTTAAATATTCTTCAAAATATATCAATATATTATCCAAGACCTGAATATGTCTAGTGTATTAATAAGATTTAAAGTTTTCTGTGTTTTGAGTTTTGGTAGAGAAGTCTTATATACCAGTTTTATCATGAAGTGATTGGAGATCTTCACTGCAGGATATTTGTCATCTCAACTTAATTGCAATTAGATACTAGCTTCCCACTTCCAGCATCCACCCCACCCTCTTCATTGGTTCAGCAATGTTCACATTAGTCATGTGAAAGACCGAATTTACTCTCCATCTTATACCATTCCCATTTCAAAACACTCCTCAATTTCTGTTAACTCACATTCTATCACACCCACCTGATTTCAGTCTGAATAATGAAGCATCAAGTAACAGTTCTGTTGTCATGACAAAAGCACACCTTAAGTAATTTTGACCCTCCAGCATAGACAACAAATGACATATGAAAAGACTGTTCCTATAAGAATGGCAATGAATGAAATATGATAAAACAAATGCATGATTTATGTTGAGACTTGCATTCTGACACTTACTGATTAAGGCACTTCATAAAGGAACTTCTAAAACCATATATATGTAATTGTGTAGAAATAAGAATTTTATCAGCTTTTACTTCAGAAAAAAGCTTGAAATTTAAGAAAGTTATTTAAAATGCTAGTAACACATCATTATATTGTATTACCAATTCGATGATGTGCTTATTTCAGCATGTTCAACAGATTTAGCACCAGTATGGACTGTCTCCTGAAAACCACAAACAAATATGGTGAAATGTTACTTCTTTGCACAACATGTTTAAAAAAAAAATAAAATGGCTGCATTAAAAGTGATGTTCTGTACATGGTTAATATTTGTACATGAGGTACGAGCACACAATTGTCCCTGTACACATTTCACACTTCCCTAGCACACAGGCAGAACATGTCTTGACATTCAAGTTCATATTTCAGTGAACTGTTATTCATTTTGGTTCATTCACACACATTCTCCACAGCTTTCATGCACTGAATGAAGTGTACAGAGTCACTTGACTCTTCAGTGCTACCCTGTTTCACTCTTTCATACTTTCCTTCCAGTGCTGAATTTCTTCAAGAAACTTTTCTTTTTGTTCACATACTTCAGTGCATGGCAAATATTCACAAGAAACATAAAATGGAACTGCCATTATCACCACCATAGTATGTCAGTTCATATCACCTAAGTCGATATTTGCAGTCTTTCTGACATAATCGTAACAATTTTCAAAATGCATGCATCATGTGAACACTTGAAACTCAGGTTTTGTGACCATTCCTGTGATGATCATGTTCAAAAGAACCTATCCTCATCTAAATCCGCCCGAATATGTCCATTTAAACTGTGGCTATTCCTTTTAATTGTAGCTGTTTCATATTCCACAAGAGGTTTGGAAAATAACTTGGGTGTCCCTAGAGAGATCCCTGTGCCCCCATTTGATGCCTTATGGGACCCCAGTGTGGATCCATTACTGCTACTAGCAGAAGAGGACAGAGCACGTTTAGGGTGATGGCTGCCAGTCTCTTTTAGTGGAACAGTGACATATGGATTCTGCTTAGACGACATATAGTGTGGACTGCCTGGTATCCTTGGGCGACGGTGGCGAATGTAAAAGTAACACAAAACACTCATCATAACAACAGCAACCAAAAATGTTGCCACACAGGAACCCAGCACAACACCAACAGATGCTGAACTGGAACCAGATGAATCTGGTGCACTGTGAACCCCAAGTGGGTTTAAGTCTGAAAAACAAGAAACACAAGAATCTCATAGTATATTAGAGAACAAAACCAATTCTGGTGTGATAACCTCAGCTCATCTACCTATTGTAGCAGCAAGAATATTTAGAAAACTGGTAAAAAAATTAATGCATTTCATGAGAACCATAATGAATAGCACTGGATGAATGTTATAACTTTGAAGATGTGTTTGTGGGCACTGCTATTATCTTTTATTTACATCTGTACCAACCATTTGTTCCTGCAAACACACACATTCTGGTTTCTTGGTCATGACCCTGACAAAAGTGGGGTCCTGGATTTGTTGTCAGGCACTTTCTGCGCCTGTGTTGCTCTGCATTGTTGTCACATAGTGACCAAACTGACCATGATTCCCAACCAAACAATGCTGAAACAAACAAATTATGTTCAAATATTAAAACTGATTTAACATGTATAAAACATTCCTTCAAACAACAACATGTTGCTGGCTAGCATCTCCTGTCTTAATTTTCACACTGGTTGGGAATCGGGGATTTTAAATCACCCAGTCTTAGCGTCAACAGTAGACACTGTTAGCATTCAAAAATGCAATGCTTGGCCAGCCAAACTACAGGCATGATATAATGCAGTGAATGGATAATAAATGTTATACCTTATACTCAACTGATAGAAAAAGTCAATAAAATCTTAATATCTATGTAGGTCATACCGAAAGTCACGAGCAACTTTTTTTTGCATGCAACCTGGGAACAGAAGATGAAAGAGAGTAAGGTGGTAGGTGGAACCAGCTGATGTGTTAACCTTGAGTGTCTTGTGATGTCAATAGCTTGCATCACGTGACCAGTATCACTCCTAACAAAATGGCCAACAATCATATGTCGTTTCGCCAGCTTGCTGTCATCGAATTTCTTGTGAAAGAGGAAATCCCTGCTGCAGAAATTCACCAGACTTCGGCGTGCTTATGGAAGTGTGTGCATGGGTGCGAGCAGTGTTCAAAGATGGGTGAAACATTTTAAAGATGGGAACACCAGCATCGAAAATGAGCCTTGGAGCAGTCGTCCTCGAACAGCCTCAAATGAACGCAACAAGGAAAAAATGGATGAGATCATCCAAGACGACAGGTGTGTGACTGTGGACACAATAGCCCAAAAACTTGGAATAGGGCACAGTGCAGTACAGGAGATGATTGAAAGCTTGGGCTATTGGAAAGTTTGTGCTCGTTGGGTCCGGCGGTTATTGACCGAAGACCACAAAGGTCAGCGAAAGCCATCACCTCAGAACTGCTGCAGAGATATCGACACGAAGGCGATGATTTTTTGTTCTGTATTGTGACAAGTGGCAAAAGCTGGTTTCACCATTTTGAGCCTGAAACGAAACAGCAGTGTGTGGAATAACACCATTTGCATTCTCCATCAAAAAAAGAAGGCAAAGACAGTGCCATCAGCTGCGAAGGTGATGGGCACAATCTTCTGGGATCCAGAGGGGTTCATTCTGGCCGAATTCCTGGAACCTGGGCTAACCATCAATGCTGTGTGTTATGTCCAGACACTGCAATAAACGTCCAGGATGAAACATCATCATCCTGTATGACAACGCTCGCCCCCACACTGCTCGCCTCACACTGGAAGCAATTACAAAGATGGGGTGGGAAGTTCTTCCACACCCCTCCTATAGCCCTGATCTGGCACCCCCCAACTACCATCTTTTCAGATTTGTGAAGGATCAGCTGTGTGGATAACGTTTTGAGACAAGGGAGGGAATTCAGAAAGCAGTGGAACAGTGTCTTCGGAGGGCTGGAATGGAATTTTACAGAAGGGGAATTTTCGAACTCCCAGAATGCTGGGAGAAATGTGTACAATGAAATGGCGATTATGTGGAAAAATAAAGAAAGGTCTGCAGGTTGAGGTGGTGTATTTGGTTTGTCAATAATAGAGCATGTTACTTTACAAAAAATTGTTGATCATGACTTTCAGTACGACCCTCGTATTATTATAAGATAGGTTGATTTATATCTGTTTGTACTTACAGCGTAGGCAGTTACTCTCAGTTTTTAACAAATGGAGTTTTTCAGCCTCAATCTATCATTTCGTGACACACGTACATACTCTCATATGCCCTATGTGAACTGTTCAAAAGGTTCTGAAATTTTGAAACTGCGCACCATCTTAACATTTTAGCTATGTCGGGTAAGTTGTGCAGCTTAGTAGCATGCTTCCTATTTACCATCCTTTTTGCCATGTCATCTTGCTGTGATTAGTCATCACCCTAGAGCTATCTGTTCATGTGCTTGTAGAGTGTATCTTGCGATATTCGAGATGGCTGATATTCATGAGCAGTGTATGAGCCATACACAGTGCTATGAATGGTTTAAGTGATTTAAGGATGGTCACAGTCAACACATGATCAGACACATTTGGGACAGCCCTCAACATGATGTGACGATGTTCATGTTGCACAAATTCATGAAATCGTACATTTTAATCATCATTTTACAGTGCAGGAAATAGAAGAAGAGTGAATCATATCAACAGGATCATGTCATGACATTCGTATGACAATATTAGATATGCATCTGGTAGTTTCAAAATTTGTTCCATGACTTCTGACACAGGATCAGAGAGACAGTCATGTTGCCATCTGTCAGAAACTTTTGGATTGCGCTAGAGAGGATGAAAAGTTTCTGGAAAGAATTACTTGTATAAAAGTGGCAATGTAACATTGATTTATGCATACAATGTGGAAACAAAAATGCAGAGTTCACAATCAGTTGGAAAAAATTTTCCAAGACCGAAAGAGGCATGGGGGGTCAGGTCAAATGTAAAGTCATGTTGACAATTTTCCTTTTCTTGACACTGAGGATGTTGTGCAGCATGAATTCTTATGTCAGGGGCAAACAGTCAATCGCTGATATTATCTCAAAGTGCTGAAATGTCTAGGAGAAAAAGTCATGAGAAGAAGACCTCAGTTGAGAAGAAACAATTCCTGGTTCCTCCATCATACAATGCGCCAGCTCATGCATCACTAACTATTCGTGATTTTTTGGCCAACACGAACACAACTGTACTTCCTCAGCCACCCTACTCACCTGACCTGGCTCTGGCAGAATTTTTCTTATTTCCTAAACTGAAATCCACTTTGAAAGGACGACGATTTCAGATAAATCAAGATTCATTCAGTCATCAGTAATCTGTCAGACGACAGGTACACAGTCTCTTCCAAAACAGTTCCTCCACTTAATGCGATCTAGAGCTTTCTCCTTCAAATGAGAATATCCTCTTCTGTCCACAAGGTCATCCAGCACCTTCTTACGTCTTCTTCCTCGTCTTCTGGTCACTTCTATCCACTCCTCTATCTTTCCTTCAATAACTTCTTTTAGAAGGCAGTTACTGTGTAAGACACAACCAATCCAATTAGCCTTCGTTTACTTATTTCGTGTAGGATATTCCTCTACTCACTGACTCTAAATAACACTTCTTCACTTCTCACATAATCGGTCCAACTGATCTTCTCCATCCTTCTCCAACACCACATTTCGAAGCTTTCCGGGTGTTTCTGATCTACTGCCCTAAGTGTCCATGTTTCAGCCCCATACAGAGCTATGCTCCAAATGTAGCATTTCACTAGTTTCTTCTCAAATTTAAGTCCAATCTGCTGGTAAAAAAGATCCTTCTTCTTGCTAAATGCAGATTTTACCATGGCAATCCTAGATTTAATTTCACAAGTTCACCTTCCATCATCTGTTAACAAGCTACCCAAATATTTAAAACATTTCACATTCTCCAGTTGTTTTTGGTCTATCTTTATTGTGACTGGGGTTGGTTGTCTCTAAATATTCATCACTTTTGTTTTTTCCACATTCATTTCCATTTCCATTTAAAGATATTACAGAAAATATGCAGATGGAGCTACACATAATCCTGAAAAAGGCATACCAGGACTGTTTCCAGAAGTAGCAACAACTTTGGGAGTGGTGCATCAGTGAAGGAGGGGAGTACTTTAAAGGTGATGAGGCTCACTCAGGTACAGGCACGTCTGGAAAAGTTATAAAATATAGTTCCATAACTTTCTGAATAGACAATATCTAACTACAACAGTCAGTGTACGTATGCACTATGAATGAATGTTCACTTGTGCTCAGAGGTTGCTGCCCTCAGTGAAAATACTGAAATAACCTAATGTGTAGCTCGGTTGATATTTTTCATTGTTGGTCTTTTCTGCAATGGTATATATTTGAGCAGTATTTAGCTAAATTATTTTAATGTAAAGGAGGAGGAGGAAAGGAGGGAGAGGGGCTGGTGAAGGACTAAAGACATAAAAATACAAAAGTTTATAGGAGGCTTTCCTTTGGTTTTTCAACGCTCACTACACCAGTATAATAATAAATATCACTCTTTTTTAGCATGAGATCAGATTACATTTAATACAAGTTATCAGCCTACAACATGCGCCCAGTAAGACTGTACACCAGTGGTTCTCGAACTTTTTACCTCTGAGGCCCCCTTGACAAGAGAAAATACTCTGAGGCCCCCAGCCTGTTTTCTTTTATCAAAACCGAAGTCATGGTATGTTTGACGTTCTAATCAGTTTATTTTGTGTTTTTCTACATACTGTAGCATGTTTTGTGGTTGAAACTTGTTGGTAACGTGTGTAAGTCCAATCCCACTTCTGACACCAAATTGTCACGTGTTGGGTGTATAACGCGACAAATAACTTCACGCCTTATTGGATAAAGCGAATTTTATTTCGCAATCGCTCTTACACTCACACAATTTACAATCTCACAATTACCGCCATTGGCAGTATCACAAATTATCGCATCAAATCTTCTAACCACGCGTTCAGGTCTTATTCCCGCGACTGCTGCTATATCTCAACCAGCTGTCTTCAGCGGCTGCTACACTTTAACTGTCTTAGGCGGCTGCTGTATTTCAACTGTGTTGCTCCGGCTCACACACTGAGAACTCCTGATCACACACTAACTCGCTTCCTTGTTGCCTAGTCGCCGTTTACCGATAGCCTAGCAACACTGCCGGGAGTTGTTTATGGCTATGTAGCAACTGCGGCGTCCCGTGTTACGNAGGCCCCCAGCCTGTTTTCTTTTATCAAAACCGAAGTCATGGTATGTTTGACGTTCTAATCAGTTTATTTTGTGTTTTTCTACATACTGTAGCATGTTTTGTGGTTGAAACTTGTTGGTAACGTGTGTAAGTCCAATCCCACTTCTGACACCAAATTGTCACGTGTTGGGTGTATAACGCGACAAATAACTTCACGCCTTATTGGATAAAGCGAATTTTATTTCGCAATCGCTCTTACACTCACACAATTTACAATCTCACAATTACCGCCATTGGCAGTATCACAAATTATCGCATCAAATCTTCTAACCACGCGTTCAGGTCTTAT